TTCTTAATCATGGTGAACTTCTCAGCTCCAGCTGACCAGAATCAATTATCTTAACAAAGCAAAGGTTTCATGTTAGTGGTACTGGTATCTTATTAATCATAGCCAGTTCTTCAACCCCAGCTAACCAGAACCACAGATTCTTAGTTCAAAATATTGAGCAGCCTCAATAGATTGACTCTCAAAATTCCCTCTGGAATTTAACAAGCCAGGCCTCCATCATCTCATTTCTCTCAACACTTGTCTTCCAACCTTTGAGTACTCAATGGCTTTTCTAGCCTCAAAGTTCCAAAGTCCTTTCATAGTCCTCCAAAAAACAAAAATGAAACAAAACAAAACAAACAAACAAAAAACAGGGTCAGGTCTGTCACAGCAATACTCTACTATCTTGGTACCAATCTCTTTCTTAGTTAGGGTTATTATTGCTGTGGTGAAACACCATAACTAAAAGCAACTTGGTGAGGAAAGGATTTATTTGGCTTAATGTGATATAGTGTGTACCCTAATAAACTTGCCTGAGGATCAGAGTACAGAGCCAGCCACTAGATTAGACATAGAGATCAGGCAGTGGTAGCACACACCTTTAATCCCAGCACTTGAGATCTTATGCTTTTGCTTAGGAAGTACACACACCTTTAATCCCAGAAGGTAATATGGCAGGGCAGAGAAAGGTATATAAGGCGTGATGAAACAGGAATTCACTTTCTTTAGGCTGAGGATTTCGTAGAGGTTAAGAACTAGTGGCTGACTGTTCTGCTTCTCTGATCTTTCAGCTTTCACCCTGATATCTGGCTCTGGATTTTTTTTTTTAATTAAAAGACCATCTAAGATTCAAACAACAGCTTAGATATTCTGGGTCCCAGTCCATTGAGGGAAGTCCAAGCAGGAACTCACAAAGAGAGCTGCTTACCTGCTTGCTTCCCGTGGCTTGCTCAGTTTGCTTTCTTATAGACTCTAGGACTACCATTCCAGGCAGGGTAGGCACTACCCACAAAGGGATGGACCCTCCTCCATCAATCAAGTGATTAAGAACATGTGCTACAGACCTACTTACAACCTGATCTTATGGAGGCATTTTCTCAGCTGAGCTTCCCTCCTTTCAAATGACTCTGGTGTGTGTCAAGTTGACATAAAAGTAATCAGCACAAGTACCAAGAGAAGCTCATAACCAAAGCATACTTTCTCAATGACCTACAGTACTCGCCTCCTGATATTTTCATGTAAATTTAATTATACCAACTATTTTATTAAACTTGTGCATGAATCTGTTGGAGTGTGTTCTATGATTGTATAGCCATGGCTAGAAGAAAAACAAAGAACAGTCTCATCAAGACTTGTTTAAGAGTATATCATATCTTCAGATATTTTCAACCTGTAGTTGCTAATCAGTATAACATTAACAGGTTCATGCAGTTTAAACAAAGGGCTGAATATACTTCTCAAACTGGGAGTCCTATAAGACTATACACTAGATACTACAGAATATATGGGGTAGAATATAACAATGCAATCTTAAATGGAATATTTAAGGGGACAGTTAATTTACTTTTACATGTAAGTAGTTGGCAAAATCTTATCCTTTGTATATTAGGAGATTTTAGTGTTATAGGTTGCTTCTTCTACAATCTTTCCCATGCCCTGTCTACACTTCTGTCCTTCGGGTAAGTGAGTAGAAAACTTGTTTAAAACATCTTGATGCGTGAATGTTGAGAGGAGAAATGTGAGGTTCAAGAAGACTCATGACAATAAAATAGTATTGGAATGATAGATCTTCCAGTAAGCCCATGGAAGGCAGGCCCTTGTTGAGGCTACAATGACACAGGGAGCTAATGGCAGCCGCTGACTACTGCATGTGTCGTTCTTTCCAGGGGCTGTGTACTGACTGCCTGACGTTCATGGGCTCAGAGCATCTTGTTGGGAATTCATTCCTGTCTTTTACCTGTAACAGCACTGGTGTTCAGAGAGAGCAAACCAGTTCTCCAGGATCTCACACTCAAAAAAAAAAAAAATCAGCCTTCAACCTGATCTTCCTAATTCACACCAGAATTTTTAGTTAATTAATTAACTAATCAATTTATCAAGGCATGTGTGTACATGGCATGGGGCATGTGTGTGTGTGTGTGTGTGTGTGTGTGTGTGTGTGTGTGTGTGTTGCATGTACAGAAGTATGTGGCTATCTTCTATGACCCTTTACCTTATTCCCTTGAGAGGTCTCATTAAATTGGAAACCAGCTGCTCTGGTTAGGCTGGCTGGCCAGGGTCAGGGGGCTCCCAAGCCCTGCCTTTCTCTGGCCCCCAATGCTGCACTTACAGTCACACATAGCCATGCCCACTCTTTTGTATGGGTGCTGAGATTCAAACTGAGGCCCAGATACTTGTATACAAGCATACAAGCACTCTTACCCGCTGAGGCATCTCCCTAGCCAGCATTTTCATAGCTGCTAACCATTTTGTTATAGTATGAAATTTTATCATACATGCCCCCCCCCCCCCTTTTTTTTTAACCTAAGGTTCGGTAAGGAATGACCCAAAGTGTCTAAATGCAATCTTCTGGCCTAAAAGATAATATAACCTAGAATATTATGAGAGCTTAAACTAAGGTTTGTAAATCATGTAACTTTGGAAAAAATGAGGCAGAAGGAATGGTAATGTGTGTGTGTGTGTGTGTGTGTGTGTGTGTGTGTGTGTGTGTGTGTGTTCAGATGGAGTTCTAGTTTCCAAGCACAGGAAGATGGTGACAGTTTGGAATTGTGATGTTGTGATATTCTTGAGCAAGAGTTTCAAAGACAAGGACTTTCTAATCACTGGGAACCTGCATGGCTTCAACGAAGAGTCCAGACTTTGCCTCCGGCTCCCTAGATGATTCAGTCCCTGCAACTCAAATGTCCTAGCCGCTGACCTTGAGTACAGCACTTTGCAAGGTTATCTTTCAGTATCTTATAGCAAAGCAAGATAAATAGAATGCAGGTTCTGAAATACACACAGAGCTGGATCAATAGCTGCTTGAGGAACGGCATCCAATAAGTGATGGATGTCTAGATTGAGATATATTTCTGATTTCAATTGACATAGCTCAGTTCCCTACCTTGCAATAATTTTTATCAGATGTCTATAGAAAGGTCTTGACTATCCAAAGTTTTCATAGGAGGAACAGGGAAAGCATATGTAATGAGCCCAAAGCCTGAATAAGGAAATAAAATCATCTCAATAAGCTTCAGTAAGTGAATATAAATATAAGGACCTGATTTTTGGTTTAAAAACTAAAATATACAAGTACAAACTGAGGCAAATATGATACTTAAAATCATTAGATTTTATTAGACATTATTTCTCTTAGATATAAGAGATAAGTTGTATGAGCCAAACTAAATTAATAAATTTTCCCTTTTCCTTATCAGAGATTGTGTGGACTAACAGCAGTGTTAAATGATCCCCATTCACTGATACACTTCAGTGATAAGTGGCCCAATACAGAGGGTGTTTAATCAAAATAGATAAGTTGCAAATGACAAATTATTCAGTACAATTAAACAAACTCACAGCATGGTTTGATCCAACTTTATCTAACAGTTCTCTCTAACTTCTTTTCATAAGTTTTCTTTCACAGGAAGTTTTCTTAATTTATGTAGGATCTTCAGTTATTAGATCCCTATCCTTTGAGGGAGCCCATGTAGAAATAAAAACATATACCTCTTCTTTGTTTCTAAAAATGTTTTCTAAAACGTAGACTCAGTGAGTTTAAGGAGCGTGTCAGTTTTCATTGCTGTGTTTAAGGAACCTAAGACTCGGCCTGGCATATAGTAGTTGCTTGATAAATGATCCCTAAAGGTGATACCATCTGAAATGATTTTTCTGAGTTCATCTGCCAGATGCTGGCTCCATACATTCTGTTTTGCTCCTAGCCCTTGTTTTTGCCTGTGAGTGGTTTGGTCTTGAACAGAAGTGACAGTTACTTAGTAGGTCCAATAAAGTATGCCTTATATCTACTATATAAGCTGTGCTAATAACCTAATTACAAACTACAAGACAGATGCACTTAGCAGTCAAATATTATAGAATCATAAAACTATTGGCAGTAATTACTACTTATGCATCACAATTATTCGACCATTAATAATAAGAGATGGTACCATAGTCTGTGAGGTATCTGTAGAGGTCAGAATAGACAAGTTTTAAACCATGAATAAACACACTTCCATTCAAATCCTAATTCTACTCCTGTTGTGGGAACTTCAAAAGGTCATATTAATCACTATAAGCCTGGCTTGTTTCTTCATCTGTAGACTGGACAGAGGGATAGTAATTAATTCCTAAGATCAGTATGAAGATTAAAAGTCATAAAGAGATGGCCCAAGCCTCTGCCACACTGTAAATAATAAAAGCGAGCTACTATTGATATAAATAAGAACCACACCAGCAATGACAGCTCACATGATCACAACCTTCATGCCAAGACAGAATGTCGTCTCAGAGCTGGGACTGTGGGAAGACAAAGGCAGAACACAGTACTGGAACTCAAGTCCCTGGCTTTACGTCCATTAGCATTCTGCCTATGCCGCTTTCACATAATGGGAAAAGATTGCCAGCCCTGTGTGGAGCTGACAGCCACACTACAGTCTGATTGGCCTTTCAGGACGAAGAAGCAGGCAAATGAGTGAAGTCACGAGAACACAGAGTAGGAAAAAAAATAATAATAAAAGCCCTGATCCCGTTGCATTTGTACAGATATGGAATATCAATTATTCAGTCTGCTTCTGCACACGAGAAAGGAAGAATTCCACTTTATAGTACTTTTATAATTTTGCTTTGAGTCAAAATTATTTTTTTTTGTCTGCTTAACCACATTTTGACACCATTTATAGGGACTTGCTCTCTTGTGTATAGGGGCCCCTGGACAAGCACACAGGTCTGAACAGACTTTAAATTAGTGCAGCTTCTCATAGCATGTACTTTGGCTATGTGTGCTATCATTATGTTTAAACCTCCTCATTTTGTTTCCATAGAATGCTGAAGTTTCTGTTTTTGAAGTAAACATACGCTTTGTCGGGGGACTGCTGTCGGCTTACTACTTGTCTGGGGAAGAGGTAAGTCTCAAAGTGGTATAGGAGAGCGAATTATGAAATGTCTCCAAATGACGCTCATTGTTAAATATGCCATTTGTGGCATGGATTTAGGGAAAATCGACTAAATTTTCATGTTCTGATGCTCAGTTTTATTTCTCAAAATATGTGCTAAGTAAATGAACAAGCCGGGAAGTTTGACAGTTCATATTGCCAGGTTAAGGTAAGCCTTTAAAAAGGCATGGCTCCATTATGCTGTGCATGGTATGATTAGGAGTACAAATTCCACATGTCTACAGGCCTATTAAAGGTGTTTAGTGTAATGGCAGGCTAGTGGGTGAATTTTTGTCTTGAAATTTATGTTAATGTCAGTATGTAAACTTAGTAAAAACTTTAAGTGAAGAAAGCATGACAAATAAGATATGAAAATTATAGTACTTGTGAAATTGAGGGGCTGAGGCTCTGAGCTTGCCAGCTCACAGTCCTGCAGGCCAGTGTCCCTGTGAGAAATGCTTTGTTCTCTTCCTGAGTCAAGGCTTAATGAATTATCTGCTGCTTGGGGCAAAACAAGGAGTTGTAATTTCCTTTTTTTTTTTTTTTTTTGGTAGATTAAAGACTTTTGTATCATGCCCATAAAGGACACTGATGCTATTTTCTTGGAAGCGTTTGGATAACTGTGAATTATGGGAAGTGTCCACTAAGAGTTTTGGGAATGGACTCACCTGTGATACTGACAATGTTAAAAGCTGACATCAAGGAAAAACAGTCCCATATTTCAACTGCATGCCAATCAGATTTACGTTAGCCCCAGCATTCTGGCTGGGGGAAGAGCAGATCTTAGCCTGTGTAGTATTTCATGTATTTCTGTGCTTCAAACAGATTTAAGCAGGGTAATAAATGTTTAATGAGACAGGCTGCTTGACTTTGCTCGTGTCTCCAAGGTGCTTTTCTAATCATAGCGGCCACACTCTTCTGTTGCCTCTCTCTCTCTCTTTGGATTTTATTCTACCATATCTCTTTTTTCTTTTTAAGTATATAGATGGCCCCTGAATTTCCCTGTGCCATTCTGTCTTAAGCATCTTTCCAGCCTGGGAAACAAAGCCCTGTGCTGTGTATTTCTCCTTCCTCGCTTCCCCCAGATTTTCCCGCTCTGTTATCATCAGTCCAGTCTAGTTTAACATCCCCAAGCTGGAGCACTGCTATTTTTAAGAAGCAGTGCTCAAATGAATGTTTTCCTAATAAACAGGTCTATGAGCATCCCAAGCCTAGATCTTCTCATTGTTTTTGACATGGTGTGCTAGGATGACCTTGCTTTTATGTTCCTTCATAATTTACATGTAGATGTCATAATTTGGAACAAACAAGAACTGCACCCTTCTGACTGTGAGTTTGATGGAGTTATGGGGAATACAGAAAGAAATGAATGTGTATTTCTTCCAAAGATGCATCCTTTTTCATTAGGCTTTTTTTTCTAATTTTTACTTATTGTTTTAAGATGCTATATGTATGAGTATTTCTATTTCCATGAATATTTGATATTTATGTGTGTACTTATCTAAATGAAATGTCCACAGACAATGCCATTTGTCTATAATTAGAATAGTTAGCTTAAGGACTTATAAGAAATTTTATTTAATTATTTCTATTTTTTGAGATTATAAAATAACTGCATCATCTCCCATTCCCTTTTCTCACTCTGAACTCTTCCTTATACCCCTGTTTCCTTAAAATTCATGATCTCTGTCTTCAATAATTGTGATTATACACATATATGTATATATACATATATTTGTGTGTGTATATATAATTACTAAATTTACACATATACATAAATACCACCTGTTGGGACTGTACAATGTTACTTGTGTGTATATATTTTTCGGCCCACCATTTGATAACCATCAAATAACCAATTGGTGTATTCATTTCTGTGGAAGACCATTTCTTCTACTCTCAGCATTTTTTAGTTGCCTGGATAGGGTTGAGGCCTCCTGCACCTTCCCCTTTGTAAACATATTACAATGTTTATTAGTGTGGTCCTTGTTCAACCCATGTTTAAGCATTCAGATCGAATAGACATTGTGGGTGTAGCTTCTGTCATTTCTAAGAGACATAATCTCACAGCAAAACCTGTTCTTCTGGCTCTTTTACAATCTTTCTGCCCCCATGTCTGGGATACTTTCTGAGCCTTAGGCCCAGGTGCTGTTTTGTCGATGTATCAGTGGGGACTGGGCTCCACAACTCTGCGTTTTGATGGGTTGTGGCTTTCTGGAATGATCTCCCTCTGCTGTGAAGAGAAGTTCCTTTGGTGAGGGGCGAGGATTACATTAATTTATCCGTAGGTATATGAACACATATTTGGAATTAGGGATTATTCTACTTTAGGAGAGTGGCCGTTGTAAGTTCTTCTCCAAGATCCGTGACTTCACTAGCTCTAGGTAGTTGACTAGGGTTCCAGTATTAGGTGTGATTTCCCTCTTGTTGAGCAGGTCTTTAAGTCCAATTAGAGAGCTGTGGTTACCGCCAAGGTATGTGTGCCACCACTGCACCCTTGGGGGTTTTGTGCCATGCTGGTCATTGTTATTGGTTTGTAGGTGTAGTAACTTGGTAGGACTCTAGGTTGCTTCCCTCATTTGGAAACTTGCTTGGAGCCTTCTGGTACCATGAAAACTAATCCTCAGAAGCTTGAGGCTTTCCGGTCAATTCCAGCTCTGGGGTCTCTCGGCCCTGTGTCTGAAATGCATGGTATCTTCAGTAGTAGAGATTTGCCCTCTACTTCTGGGAGAATATTTGTTGTTCATGTATAGATTGATAGCTACTTAATAAAATGCTTGCAACCAGAATACAGACACACATCAAAAGGATTGTACACCACTACTAAGTTGGTTTTATCCCTGAAATGCAGGTATGGTTCAACAAAAGCAAGGTAATATTCTGAATTTCTTCAGTGTCTGTTTCCCTGTTCATTTCTGATTCTGTTCATCTGGGCACTCTCTTTCTTTCTTTTGGTTAGTTGTGTCAAGGGTCTATTCATGTTGTTTATCTTCTCAAAGAACCAGCTCTTTGATTGACTCTTGATATTGTTTTCATGTCTCTTTCATTAGTTTCTACTCTGATTTTTATTATGTCTTGCTATCAGCTGGGCTTGACCTTGATTTTTTCTTGTTTTTCCAAACTTTTAAGTTATACCAAGTCATTTATTTGTAATCTTTCAGATTTTTTTAATATAGGTAGTTAGACCTATAAAATGTCCCTTGTAAACCTGCTTTCAGGTCTCAGAGGGTTGTGTTGTATTTCATTTTCAATTATTTCCAGGAATCTTTTTCTTTCTTTCTTGATTTCTTCTTTGACCCATTCAGCATTCAGTAGTGAGTTGTTTAATCTCTGTGAGTTTGGGTGTTTGCTAGAAATTTATTTGGTGTCAATTTGAAATTTTATTGAGTTGTGGCCAGATAGGATACATGAAGTTATTTCAGTACTTTTTAATTTATCCATATTTGTTTTGTGTCCCAGAATGCAATCTGTTTTATAGGAACTCTCAGTATGCTGCTGAGTAGAATGTGTAGTCTTTGATGTTTAGGTCAAATATTCTATAGTAAGATATCTGTTAAGTTCCTTGGATGTATGATGTCAATGAATTCTGATGTTTTATCCAGATGACTTATTTCATAAAATAGATGATTATCTATTAATGGGCTGATGTTAATCTGTGTCTTTAAATGTAGTAGACATTTTTTTTTAAATATAATTGTGCATACCAGAGTTTGGCCCATTTGTGCTTAGGATAGCAGTGTCTTTTCAGATAACAATTCCTTTGACTAGACTGAAGTGTTGCTCTTTATCTTGCTGGTTTAGTTTGAAGTCTATTTTGTCAGCTATTAGGATAGGGATGCCTTTTTGTTTCCTGGTCCCAGTTGACGGGAATACTTCTGTGCATTCCTTTATTTTAAGACAGTTCTTATCTTTAAAGCTAAGGTGTGTTTCTTGTAGACAAGTAGATGGATTTTGTTTTTGTGATCCCTTTTAACCAGCCTGTGTCCTTTGATTAGAAGAACAAATGCCATTAATATTTAAAGTTATTGTTGAAATGTATGTATTAATTATTGTCATCATGTTTATTTTTGCTTTTATTTTGTGTTTTACTAATTGTGGATTCATGTTTCTTTCCACACCCTCTTGACTATGCTCATTTCACTCTTCAGCCCAAAATATTGATTCCTGTATCTACTTTAGATTGATTTGGTAGGTACAAACACACACACACACACACACACACACACACACACACACACACACACACACATATTCTATTCATGTCTGTAAAGATTTTCTCTTGCCTTAAACTACAGCAGGTAGTTTTGCTGGGTATGTTAGTCTAGGTTGGTCCTCCTGGTTTGTAGTACTTGTAATGCATTCTAGGATCCTCTAGCTTTCAGAGTTTCCATTGAGAAATCTACTGTTATGCTGATGGTGTTCCTTTACATGTGACTTGTGTTTGGTTTTGTTGTTTGTGTGATTGGTTGGTTGGTTGGTTGATTGGCTGGTTGGTTGGTTGGTTGATTGGTTGGTTGGCTTGCAGAAGCTTTCAATACTCTTTCTTCATTTGGTATAGTGTTTTAACTATAGTACCCAGTAGGGACATTCTTTTCTGGTCTTGCTATTTTCAGTTTTGTGTGCGTCTTGTATCTGTATGTTTTTCCTTAGTTTGGGGAAGTTTTCTTCTATGATAATGTTGAAGACCTTTTCTGTTCTTGGGGTTATTCTCCCTCATCTAGTCTATAACTTGAAGGTTTGCTCTTTTAATGGTATCACACATCTCCTGTGTATTTTTTCCTAATATTTTTATTTGTTTTTTGTTTTTTGTTTTTGAATATTCAATATTCCTTGCTTATTTGGTCTAGATCCTCTTTTTCTTCTGCTTGATCCGACCCACTTGTAAGGCTTTCCTTGGAGTTTTCTAGTTGAATGATTGGGTTTTTCAATTCCAACTTCATTTCAGCTTGAGTCCCCTTCAGTGTTTCTCT